AAATGCAAAGTCTCCCAAGATTTTGAAGTCTGAAGCTCTTCTGCAGCAAACTTGTTTGTGAAACTAAGTTACTATGTGGCAAGGGTCCTGTGTACCGTCAAAATGTCAAAGGCACTATAAGATGACTCCTAGTGTGACAAGGGATTGTTAATTATCTAATTCCTGTTTTCCCAAGAGGTGCAATGTAGGGACTAGGCTTTAATAGAAATATCTGTGGTATTGCAAAAGCATGAGAGAAAACTGTTAGTTTTGTGACTGTTTAGTTTAGTGGTTGTAAATTTTGTCAATTTATTCAAATTTTTTTTCCATGTTTGTCTCTATAGGTTCAATGGATTGCTCCACACCTCAGCTTTCCTCTCTGTAAGTGTTTGTCTGAACCCTTTAGACTTTAACATCAGTATGCATATTCTCCATACTGTTCTCTATACATTTCCTAAGGTGCTGACATGGAGAATTTGTTTAACAATCAAGAGCATCTTTAGTTGGTGATCATTTTCTCTATTCTCATCATCTTAATATGTGATTCAAGGATGATACAGCAAGGAGAAATTAGATGCTTATCACTCTTGGAGTGTTAAGCGTTTACAAAACACAGTAATAGGTTGAATCCTGAGAGAGATGCTAGTTTACAGGTTGCTGTTATGAAGCACTTTGCCTCTATTGCTTCAAGGACAAATCTTAAGGAATCATTTTCTTGTTGCTCTCAGATTTTGATTTTGAGATTTTTTTTTTAAGTTTGTGTTCTTTGATATGAATTTCCACTAAAATTATTTTCTTCATACCAACAAGATGTTGCTGTAACCTGCTTTGAAGTTGTTTTATAGCAAGGTGCTGCTGTCTTTTTTTGCAAGTTGTGAAATGGAAATCTCCTAAGGGGCATTGTATGTTTTGATAATTTCAGGAAAGATACATCTTGTGAAATGCAGACTGTTTCAGACAAGATCAATTCATTTGCTGAGAAACATGAGCTGAAATTTGACATTCCATGTGATGTAGAAAATAAGGGCTTACCTTCCCTTGCTGAGGAGAATTCTGCACATTTTCATTCTGCTGAAAATAAAGAAAATCAAGAAGTTCATGGAACAACGAGTGGTGGATCTTCTCACAATGATGTAAAAGGACAGGATGAAAATTCTAAAACTGTTAAGAATTCCCATGTTGATAATCATGCAACAGATCACAACTATGCCTGTAGTGGATCTCCACTGAGAAAACCTATTCAGTTGAAACCAGAAGATGACAATACTTTGAAAGAGTCTATTCTGAAATGTAGTCCTCAAAAGTCTCTGGATATGGAGAATCATCATCACTCTATTTCTGAAGAAACTGGTCCAAACCGTTACTCACACAAGAGAAGGTTAAGCTGTGATGATCATTCACCAGACAGAAAGAGGAGACTTCCAAAGCGCTATAGAGGTGCGTACTGTGAGGAGAGCTGTGGTGGCGAAAGCAGTTGTGATGAAGAGTATCACTACAGGGAAATGAGCACTGACAAAGATAAAGACCATAAGAGACAGAATAGTTATCGGAAGTTTAGTTACAGCTCTGATGGAGACAGAAGTTGTTATAAAGGAAGCAATCGTAGACACAGCATGTGCTCAAATGACAGTTATGATGGACGAGAGTATTCCAGTTCAGATGAGGAGTGTAAGAATGAAAGGACATCCCGATATGATCCTAGACGTTCTGAATCTGACTGGCAGCGCAAGCAATCAAGTGGTAGCGACAGAGAAGCAGACCATCACAGGAGCCCTCACAACAGAAGAAGGAGGAGGAGGTCTCGGAGTAAAGACCCCACTGAAAAGAGAAATGGTGTCACAAAGAACAAAACATTCCATGATATTGAATTTGAAAGAAAACTAGAATTCAAGTTTGACCATAACATCAGGAACACTGCAAAGGTACAGGGAACATTTTCTTTTGTTGTTTTGTTTGATTGCTACATTGAAACTACCATGCAGTGGCTATCCAAAACAGAGGTTGTGTGCATTGTGTGATTGCTTGATTTTTTTTTTTTACAGTACTGTAATTTTTAGGTTGGTTGGAGTCAACCACCAATTTCAAATTGGTGGTTGAACCCCTTTAACTTCCAGAAGTGATTAACATGTAACTTCTCCCAGTGAAATCCATACATTAGCCAACAAATAGGTAATGAGTATTGGAGAGTAATTAAATATTATCAACTGAGTTGATTATGTAACTTGGCCACTGTAAAGAGTTTCAAAGCTGACCTTTCCAGCATTAGCCCTTCGTCAGAGCGAATGGAGCAATTGTGGGTTGTGTGTATGTGTTTATATGCAGAAATGGAGCTGCACTATTGGTGGGAATATGGTGACAAGAAAACAAGAATAAGTTAGTTGCACAATGATATTTAAATTAAGAGTGCCAATTTGAAAGATAAATTTTTGTTCTAGAGTTTTGTGGCTTTCTGAACTGCCTAGATGTAGGGAAAAACTGCAAACTGCCATAATGCTTCTTAGAATGATTAGGGATATCAAGTATGCTTGGACAGGTGAAAGTTGTTACTTGATCTAACACCAAATTATTGTGACTAATGTACAAGGAAGTGTGTAGCAGCTAGAGGGGAGGATTGCATGTAAAAATCAGTTGTTGGGAGATTAAGGGTTAATTTATGTTCAAGTTCATGGACATTTCATGTTTAATTATTAAATATCTTTGTTAAAAGACTAAATTTAATTCTGTTGAACATCAACATTGTAATGAAGTCACATTTTGCATATATGGTCAACTCCCTGCTAATGGACACTCAGGAGAGCAGACAGTTCTACTTGCAGACACTTTTTTTTTATTCCCCTTTTTACTTCCTAGTAATACCCCATGCATAATAGTTGACTCATGGCAATGAAGTCTGTATTTAGTTTGAAAATTATCAAAAACAAGTGGGATGTTAAATCTCTATTTGTCCAGGGGAAGGCAGACTGTCTGTTCACATGTCTAGTAATTACAATCCAGTCATAAACTCTCCCTTAGCAGACATCCTCCCTATTTTTTTCAGTGTCCTCTTATGGGATTAATTCTTGTAGGTAGACAGCTCAAAAGTTCAAGAACTCTTTCAGTTGAAGATCAAAACAAGGAAAAAATAATAGTTACTGAAGATCATTCTAAAATTTTAATGTTCTATATGATTGTAGGAAGAGAGACGTATTGTGTACATTGGTAAAATATCCAATAAGACAACAAAAGATGATGTATTCAGAAGGTTTCGTCCATTTGGGCCAATTGAAAAAGTTACTGTCCACTTCAGAGAGAAAGGGTAGGGTATACTTTTGTTGTAAGAAAACTCCAATACCAGATGAAGGTTTCCATTGTTTAGCTGATGACGGATTTTTAATTTGTACCATGGCTGTGAGAGTTCTCTTCCTACATGTATAAGTTGCTTGAAAAGATTTGTTTCAAGTTTTCAGCATTAGTTTCTTTTTTAACTTTCTTAAAAGTGTTCTTTTGGTGTGGCAATTTCATCCAAAGGTATGATTTGTTTTTGTTTGTCCACAGCAGAAAATGTAATTTTTTTCTACCTTTTTCCCAACAGTGACAACTATGCTTTTGTGACATTTTTTGAAACCTCCTCTGCTGCTGAAGCTATTGAAAGTGAGTGTTGTGAGAAATTTAGCATCTTGTTAGCGTCCTTTTTCAGTTTAGCTTTTGTATGGCTTGAGGTGATGAGAAAAATCCCTTATTTTACCATAATTTTCTCTTCAGGGGGAAATGAAGACTCACGACTTCCTGTCTTGGATCTTTGCTTTGGTGGAAGAAGGAAATTCTGTGGTGGTAGCTATGTAGACTTTGGTGAGTATTTTTTGAGCTTTAGCATGCATGTAATTTTGCAATGCCTTTCACCTGTTCCTTATTTATTTAACCCATTGGATTGGTTATTCAAACAAGTTTTAGCTGTTGTTTGACAAAACCACATCTAAAATAATCCTCTATTTAGCTGAACCTTATACCTGAACATTTATTTTTGTGAACATTGTCATGAGGGCCAAAGAAGGGTATTAATGTAATCAAATCAACTCCCTTATAGAGAAAGCATGAGGCCCACGGATTGCATAAAACTGTGGTTTACATGTACAGTACATGTAGGTTAGACGTCATTCAAATAACCAGCCCATCAACTCCCAGAAGTGATTAAACTGTTATTTCTCCCTCTAATGTCCACACGTTAACCACCAAATAGCAGGTTATGGGAATTTATTCACTCAAACTTATTAGATAAAATTTGTTATCTTGATGTACTTATAATACCAAATTCTTGTACATGTAACTGATTTACAAGGGAATGTGTAGCGACTGGAGGGTGGAATGAACAATTAGATGAACACACCCCACCCTTGGTTTTGATTTGGAGGATAGTCTCTCATAGATTCTGTGCTGTAACAGAAAGGAGAATGGCCCTGAAGATCAAAGTGACTTTTGAATCTCACGCACAGATAGGGTTCTGGAATGTATAGGATAAGAAAGACGAATAGTTTTCTGTTAGCCCCATCAGTGGGTAAAGAGAGATTTTTCTCATTTTCTGACTATGGAAAAATTTGATTCTCAGACTCGAATGCCAGTTATCTTGAAGAACAGGAGCTGAGCCGACCGCCATCATCAGATGAGATGGATTTTGATGCCCTACTTAGAATGTCACAGAAAAGTTTAAAAAGCAGAAAGGAATCTTGCAAGGGAAGATATATGTACTAATGTAGAGAAAAAGATGCTGGTTGTTAAAGCTGTGTCATCAAATGTCAAGATAGTGGTCCGTATTTTGTTATATGGAGTGTTTACTAAGAAATGCTCATAACTCTTGTATTTTTATGCATGAAAATTAGCAAATTCAAAATAAACAATTTTGGTGTGAGTGTTGTGTAATAAACTACTGACTAGCTTTGCTTGCTCAAGCTGTACTGAGAAATATTGGCCCTGGTTTGTTTTTTACAGACCTCACTGAGCTTGGTCCTTATTGTCATGATCTTGGGTCAATATTTCCCAGTTTGGCCCTCATACTCGGTTAGTAAGAAGTTAATAGTTTCACAGGGAGCAGAGAAGTCATATTTGAATGCATTTCTTGTAAAATGTCTAATGGCTGCCAAACTTGATCTTATTAAATTGCTTTATATAAATGCAGTCATATTACAAGGTTTTTAAAATTATATCCACTTTAGATCACACATTACTTCCTGTGAGTCCACTTCCACACTACTTAATTTGTGCTTAACAAGGAAAGCTTCTCTTTCCAAGTGGGTCTAGAATGGATCATTATTGGGGGTGGAATTTTAACAGACATGCGGTGCAATTGCATTTTATATATGCCGAGTCAGTGAGATTGACTCAAACAGTATTTTGGTGGTAAATTTGGCTAGAAATATAGTCAACTAAGGCTCTTGTGTTCTCACTGAAACATTCAAGAATTTAAAATGTAGACTCAATATTATGAACTACAAACTCAATACAATATTAATACATAATTCTCAATTTTGTACAGTTCACATTAAAGGACCTTGAAGTATTTTTGACAAATGATATTATTTTCAATCTAATAATTGACACAATGTGGAAGAAATTTTGTGATGAGTGTACATGAATTGTAGAAATATTGACATAACTGAAAGACGATCAGTTTTAAAATTTTCAGACTACGATCAATTTTCATCCGGTATTGAATTCATAAGCAAAAAACAAGTAAGCTACATTATAAGTGTATTTTGTGGCATTAGAAAGTACTAACATTGAGCGTTTAATCTGTGCAGATGAATTTAATGCCAGAATTTAAAATTTTTTATGGTATCAAAATCTCAGTGATTAACAATTACATCTTTCAACATTCACAAGAAATTTTTTTAAGTAATTCTGGTAAATGCACTGGATTAAAGGTTTTCTTTTTTTGATAAACTAGACATTAAGTTTAACTGAGTTAAATAGTTACCTTGAATTGAACACCACAGTTTTGTGGACACTTTATTTTTTATCTGCAACTGTTGTTGAATTTGAATACTATATATTGGTTCTTGAGAAGTATTTCCTAGCTAGATATCCTATATGAGGGATTTTTAGTCTCTAGTCAACATGTACATGTACTGAGTGACAATCATGTAGTTATAGAAAATATGTCAAATTTAAGTTTACTAAGGACAGTGCTAAACCTTTTTCACTGAGATAACCGTTGGACAAATAAATATTAGACAGAGAGTAGGAAAGGAGATGCTTGTTTAACAATTTAGATCAACTCTGTGTTTTGGACCTTCATTGACATCATGAGAATGAAGTGTATATGCTGATTGATTCCCTGTTGCCTCTTTTCTTTCTTGTCACTTCTATTTTTTAATGACTGTTTTCGGCATCAGTCATAGAAGTATTCCATGTCCCCAGGGTTTTCCTTTTTGCCCTCTCTCACCCCAGCATCTGTGGTTCTCTTTGGAAGATTGATGGTGACCCTCAATTCCATATATGCAACCGCTCACATACCTTACATTAGAGTGACTCTAGACTGTCCTCAACCATTGTTCACTATCCGCTAAAAATCAACTCAAGTGCTGTACGGTCTGACGTGCTGCTGCGGGTAAGGGGGGAGGGGGGGCTAATAATAATGGTGGTAGTTACTGACGTTTCCACAGCCTCGGAGAAAGTCATCTTATGAGTCGAGTGAAGAGTTCCTTTTCAGTCAAGTATAATAGGTCTTATCATATTGCCGGTAACGCTCGTGGGTAATGTGAAGCGAATCCCGTGTTCTGATTGGCCACCCAAGCGGACAAGATGGGCCCCCGCTCGGGATTGCCCGCTTTGATCCCGGACCAAAAGAGAAAACAGAATTCGTGGAGCGGACTTACATAGTAGTAAAGTTTTGGACAACGTCGGTGATGGGGTTGCAAAAAGGAGCAGCAAAAAGACAATCAAAACATAGATGACTCCCGTAGGGTTGTTGTGCCACAGACACAGTTGACCTTCTTTACCGGCTTTGGAAATAAACAAGTCATTCTTGGTTTTTATAAGAACATCTTTTTGCTAAAACAACACCTTTATTGACCAAGCCTGTTCGACCAAGATGGCAGCTGGATATTAGCCTCGTTCTCCTTTTTGCGTTTCATGGATCTCGACTTTCTCTCGGTCCATAAAAACCCCCAAAATGAACTCGGCCAACATCCACGCATCTTGACCGAACAAGCTCTGTCAACAACGTATCTATAGCACTCAATTTGCAGGGGGCAGACGGAGGCATGGGAAAAAGAGTAGGTTGTATCGCGGGTGCAAATGCTGGACGTATTTCTTACTAATTTCAACGGTGTTTTAAGGTAACGCTTCATTGTTGAATTCTAAAAACCGTTTCTTTCACAATTTTTTTTAAACATTTCACCAATTAAGCATTATTTTGATCGACGACCTTTTAGAACTAAGTTTCCACCGATTCTGAACCCCTATCAATTTGAGTCCAACTGAATTGCCGTAAGTAGCAGTCTGTTTTTCTCTTAACCGTTTGCACCCTAACATCAGTATGCAAATTCTCCATACTGTTCTCTACACATTTCCTAAAGCGCTGACGAGGAGAATTTGTGCAAGAATCAAGAGAATTATAAGTTGGTGATCATTTCCTTGATTCTCGTGACCTTGATGTTTGATTCAGGAGTGATATTATAGGAAGAAATTAGAAACTGGTCACTCTTAGGGGTTAAAGGAGTAACGATGAGCTAGAAAAGAGAGCTTTAGCGTGGACGAGAGCGCAGGTTTTTCTCCCGAAAACAGAGCGAACAGGAGAAGGCTTCTATTTGTTTACCTCGTTTACGCCCTAGTTACTATGATTTGCCGACTTGTCACCGTGTGTGATTTTGACCAATCACCGACAGAGTGGCAAAGTTAATGGGGTTTCAGAAATTGTAAAGAGCCTCCAAAGTTTTCCTTTGTTTTGCAATATGGACCTTTAACGGATTCCAAAGGTCAATCGAGCGTTTACCTGCCCTCTAGTTCATTGGATTGAGGAAAGAGGGAAAACGCCTCAAACAGCTACACAGAACCGCCTTATTCATCTCTTTGGGAAGCATTTTTGATTCTAATAATGGGAGCTTGTGTTGCGAAACTAAGCAGAGGCAAGGATAAATTTTGTTACAAAACACATGGTCGAAGGCGCTGTGTATCCGGACTTGGTGAAAACGCTGTTGAGGAACAAGGGAAGAAATGCAGTCTTCAAGAGCTACACCAGAATCCACCACCAGGATTTAGAAAATTCGAGATTGAGGTACCATGGCAAAGTATGGAAGAACATGTCGCCCTTCAATTGTGGGAAGTTTACAGAGCTCTGTACACCTTCTAGCTGCTAAGTTAAGTTTAAAACAAACAGATTGAGCCGGATACAGACACAAAAGCTTTTCAAAGAATTATTTTCTGATGTTCATTAACCACATCAGATGAAGGAGATTTATAACATTATTTGTTTTGTTGGCGAAATACTTACAGCCAAGGGATTTTTGTTTGTATATCCTGATGAGAAAAATTGTAATTCTATCTGCAATGTATTCCATGACAACTGCTTTAATCATTAGCACTTATAAATAGAGCTGTTCAAAACTTGTTTTATATCATTATTTCACTCCATTATTTAACGACGATGTCAAAGTGACATCAAATGATCTTTTTCATTGTAAATCTTCATCCTTAAAGGAACAGTTTAGTCGAGGTTTTTATGCTTAGATTTCGACTAATATCAATGGCATGACAACAAAACAATAAAATGAAACAACACAATGAACTGTTTATCGAGTAATCAATTTGAGTTCCGCTCACGCAATAAAACTGCATTTGTGTTCTCGAAAATGGTTCAGGCAGAGGACTGTTTGAATAAGAAAAAAAGAAAATTGCACAATCGCTAGTTCAGTTCGTGACTTCTAAGCACGAGTGACTTTTTAAAAGTTTCCGTTCGTGTAGCACGAGCCGTTGGTGGAGTTCGCAAATCACCGTCAACCATCAAACGAAATACACGGGCAGTTATTGCCATTTTTTGCTAAAGTTCTCAACAAATTGAATCCTTTACGACACCTAGATGCACATTACACGTAGAAAAGTTTCAACGGTTTGAAAAATGAGCGTGTATTTGCTTTGAATTAATTATACTATATAGCAATTGTGCCAACGAACAAACCTAACTGATTTTCATTGAATTTTGGAGATTAGATTGAAATCTGCACATTCCACCGTCTAAAAAATCTTAATGAGGAGTTTATCAAATGAAACTCGTCATATAGTTGGCTTTGCCTCACGGAGAAGAACAAAACAAAACAAAACATACAGGTAAAAAAATTTCAATTTTCAAAACTTGGCTAAGAAAGTTACATTTCAATGATTTAACACTTCCACTACAGTTTTTTTTTATTTTGTTGCAGATTTGAAAGTGGGTTTAGCGATTATTCTTCCATTTTGACCTAGTTGTAGAAGATTTTATTAAGTCTTTCCATTCGCTGTTCATGCGCACTATTATCTCGGACCGCCTGACTACGAGCGTGCAGTGACAAAAGGTCACTGTACTCCCTTTTGGAAAACTTGGCGTCTTGCTCCTCAATAGACGTTAAGATTTCCTGCAGAAAAAGTCAAACAAAGGGATTTATATCTCCCTTACCCATTGTCACTTTTGCTGTGTTTAATTTAAGTATACAAACTTAATTGTGTAATTTAAAAGGAGGGGGGGGGTTTAGAGAAATAGCAGTGCTGCTGTGTGGGTGGGGGTGGGGGGAGGGGAAGTTACAAGACAATTTGGCTCTTCGCTTGGGTGAAGGGCGCATGCTCGTAAGGTCAGCCTTAAAAACTCTCTACGGTGGCCAATTTACATTATCAACTCGGTTGGAAAAAACCAATATGTTTGAACTGTGTAAGGCAGGCAAGGTTCTTCCTTGTCTGCTTGGGTTATTGTCTGCTTGAATATGCCTGATCGCCATATCAAGATTTCAAATGCAAAAGATGAGATGCAAAAGATTTTAAGACTGTATAGCTTCCTTAATGAAATAAACTCCATAATAAACCTCGAAGAGGGGTCCGCTCGATGAAGATTTTGGGTCACAAAAGAGCTCCAATTAACTCCCACGCCCGCTAAATATAGGTCCTTTTAAAGTAATTATAGTAACAACAAAATTGGGACTCTAGTTGGTGTCCACTTAACATATGCATGGGGTTCATCTTTCACCGAAGTTCATTAAAGTGGGCGCTGAGTAAAGCAGTAAACTGGCACTTACATCTGGGTTAGAGTATAACAGTTCATAATACTGTCTGGCTCGATCCAGGTCCCCCTCCCGAGACATGGTAATGTTTGTCAAGTTCTGTTGAATAGCGAAGATAGTACGGCACCTAGAAAATGAAATTTCATAGTGAACCATGCACTAAATTAGCAGAAAATAACGTCAATGGAAGAGTATCAAGGCTAGACTGCGCAAAGATTTCTGGGATCGTCAATGGTCAAACTTTGCAAGTTGCAAGGAAATATATGGCGAAAGATTATTAGAAGTTCTCTTCAAAAAACGTTTGTAAGAGATCAAAGCCCTTTTTTTGACGGCTGTGTTTTAAGAAATGGATCAAAATAATGTTAATACGAGGGAAACATAAGCTTTTGCTTAAATAATCATGAAGAAAAATGCAATAAAATCTACCGGTAACCTGCTCTCCTTGAGTAAGGTTTATTCTAAAATTAACATCGCGCAATGGTCTCGAAATATTATAAAATAAGCTATGAAGTGCTAGTAATAACTCGCTAAGGTCTTTTTAGTTTCTTTGGACGTCGATGCAACCTTCACCAATTATTTTCCTCCAGAAAATTGCAACGTTTGACCCCTGGCGAACCCAGAAATCTTTACGCAAACATGAGCATCCAATTACGGGCAACTCCTTCGTTGAAACTTCCCTGATCAAAGGAAAACGCACAAAGGTAAACTTACATCTTCTTAATTCCGTTTTGGTTAATCCTCTTAATCTCCGAAACGTTTGAGATGAGAATAGAAGATACGAGGAATCCCACTCCCTCAAACAGGTATCTGAAAACAATAAAGGAGGTAAGTTTCTAAAAAAAAACTGACTGTGGTGCTGCGTCGGCGGGAGAGTATCACAAGGTAATTTAGTATTATCATATAAACTACGGTGTTATACAAGGATTTCCAGCCCTGAGAAAAGCCGTGACAACACACGTGAAAAATTACGATATTTTTTCACGTGTGTTTGATATCGCCAATCAGCTGCTGACACGTCACTTGCCTTTCGCGCCACTCGGTCAGGTTGATGAATGAACAGCAAAACCTTCACCATTCTTAATACAAAGACGTTTGTCGGAATCTTTTCGGATTATGGTTGCTAAAACACCGAAAAATCCGTATCGCTTACAGACAGTGACGTTCAAACTTTCCTAGAAGGGGAAGAAAACCAAAATACGAAAAGAAAAACCGAAAGTTACGTATTCAGTGGCTTTGGTAATGGCATTTCTCCTGGCTGAGAACGAAAATCAAAAAGTGGAAGATTTGCCACAGGCCGATTTTGGCCGTGTACCTGAAAGATTTCTTCTGAAAGATTTCTTCTCGTGTACAAATCGACATTTCACTCGTTCGCTTCGCTCACTCGTGAACTATCGAGTTAAACACTCGAAGAGAAATTCCATATCAACGCGCGCCCGTTTCGCTCTGACGAAGGGCTAACGCTCGAAACATCAGCTTTGAAACTCTTTACAGTGGCCAATTTACGTTATCAACACAGTTGATAATATTAAATTAACCCAATTTTCTGAAAACAAAGCTAACAAATGTTAGGTGACAAGTGATGACAAGTTCCATTTTAGTAAACAATGCAAGTATATTTAAGTACCTAAACTTGTAGTTTCCCATGCAAGCAGTTGCAATTTCCTCAAACGATGACAAACTCTTGTTCAAGTCATTCACGTTCTTATCAGGGTCCATAGCGTTTGAATTGCACATGTAAGACTGAAAGAAACAAATGAGAATCATTCGTTGAGTTCTTAGTAAGAGTGCATTTTAGCACTTTGTCAAGTAATCCAAATTTCACACAAAACTGAGAACAAGGGCAAACGTTTCATTTAGAAGATGGCACAACCTCCTCACCTCCAAAAAACAAGACAAATATGAGTGTCTACAATTCACTTCACGTTTGAACCGGTCATTATTCATCGGAGGGAGGGGAAGGAAGAGGGGGTTTGGTGGATCTCATTGGGGCTCAGTAATATTCTTATGACCCCCATCATTAGCAGTAAATTTTATATAGCTCCACTTTGTGCTCTATTAGGTATGACTGACCCCCCCCCCAGCCCCTCCCCTCCGTTCCCCCTGAAAACAATGTGATATCCCAAAAATCCTTCACTCCCCCCTCCCCATCCCTCCCCCCCCCCCCATACTAAAGACTGGTCCCTGACATGTCATACAACCTCTGACAGAAAGCCGATTGCAATCAAAGAATTTGCAGAGTGACAAATATTGATGATGACTACCATAGTATGAAACCTGCGTCACGCCTTATCTACAGTTTTTGGTATTAACAGAGAAGCACATCAGAGAAAGCAGTGTCATGTCGTTGCAAAGCTTTCTTCAATCCAGTATCAAAAACTGCCCTTGCTTTTAAATATTTCCTATTGAAACAGATGGTAAGGCTACCATTTTGTAGCGTTTTGTCTTCTGTAGGACAGAAGGGCGTAACTGACCTCTTGTACAGTCCGCATCAAGAAATAAAAGCAATGGCATCTAATCTCCAGATGAAGCACTAGCAAGCAAGAGTCCGAGATTTTCTGAAAATCTTCTGCTAGCGTTGTAAGTGATCTGTGGGTTGAAAAAACGTGATTAAGTTTTGACTAACTATCTACAGAGTTTCTTTTAAAGTTGAGTAAGAAATACAAAACTTTACCTTTTGGCCACTACTTGTGAGTCAGATGCAAGGCAAAACCTTTATTTGCCAATCATTTTTTTCCCGTCTCGTAAGCCTTTCATGGAGGGGGAGAGTGGGTGAAGACAGGGGATCTACGTGATAGAGAGCTGGGTTCTTAACCCGAACGTGCTCAGTTCAGTGGATACGCGGGCAGGCTTTTGCCTCCACCCAGCTAGAACTGTAAACGTGGTGCGCTGCATTTACTCTACTCAACAAGACGTTGAGTTGTACCGAAAGGGTGTATTAAGGATAGGCTGTATTACAATCATTTCATTTTTTTCAAAAAAGGGAAGATTGGTTTTGCAAGAAAAACGTTGGATCGGTCAATGGATAATGTCAGAATCTATCGTTCGGCGACCAAGTCGCGATTGGTTAGTTTTTCATCTGACTGTTTGAGAAAGTGGCGCGACTTTTCCGGACCAATCACCAAGAAAAGTAAAGCAAAAGCAAAACCTAAACTAAAACCAAAATCACAACCAGCGCACTCCCGGATTATATTTTACTATCAATGAGAACTACTCTAAAGCAAAACCAAAACGATCCCGGATTATTACGTTGGAAACTCACTTGAAAGAGGTTCACTTTATAACAGTTAACGAGATAGAAATACTTACTGTAGGATTTCCTGGGAGACTGGGGGGATTTCTTGCTGTAAAATAAACGATACAAAAGGCAAGCAACTTCAAGCAAGGCTCAAAAATACATTTAAGTATATAACACGATACAACTCAAGACGGCTTCGACGAATTTTTTCATCAGTTTTAATTTCTCACCAAGTGGAAGAAATTTCCTCGCTTGACTTTCATAATAACATCAACTACCGCTACCAACCGGCATCTTACAAACAAATAGTTATTCACAACATTTACACAACAAGCGAATCGTACAGAACATTACCGAGGGATCGAAACTGACCAATCACGACCAACTCGTGCAACTGGAGACTTTAAGCCAATAACATCACAGCAAAGCTGAACTATCGATTAACATGAAGATGACTTACAACACCCTACTGACGGACAATTCTTCACTTCTCCAAATATCAACTAGAAAATTTATCTGCAAATCGCACTAATTTTTTAACATACTTGATGTGAATCAATTAAGTGTTAATTCTGACCAAAATCCTGTAGTTAGGTGATTGAATTGAACTTCCTCTAAATTGGAATGGTCATTCGTGATGTGCAATTTTGGTCTGATATCAACCATGTGTTATAAAAGCATGCGCTTGATATCAGGCGAAATTGCACTTCACTTCAGTGGGTCCAGCAGCATTACTGATACCTTCCAAAAAATAATAAACTGAGTTACTTTTGAAATTATCTCGATCAATTAGTTGCCCTCATTTTAAAGCTCTGTTTTAGAAGATCAATAAATAATACTGATGAGGACAATAAGCAGTAATTCAAATAAAGATCTTCGAGTTTATAAGCACCTTTTAAGTAAACTCTCTCAATGATACGACAAGGAACAAGTTTGCCCGTTTCACTATTTAAGGAATCAAAAATCGACCGATGAAAATAAATGTGTGGATAATTTATCTTTACAATTTTTTAGCAAGAAGCAATTAAGTTATTACAGATTATATCTCATGTCGATTGACAAGTAATGCTTGGACAACTCACCCAATTTCTACCATAAACGTAAGCAAATCCATAGCCGTCGTGCACATCTCGCTGTTAAGTTTAATTTTGCATTGTATCAGGTTTAACTCAATGTTGCACCTCTTAAAAAATCGTTCCCAACGAAAATGTTTTTCCTTCCGTTGAGGCTCAAATGAAACTGGAATCTAAAATTCTCAATTCCACACAACAATTACGATGACATGGCCACAAACTTCGGTTAAAATCATGCAGTTTCCTAGATATTATAAGGACTTTATTTTTAACAAAGTAATACCCATGGACAAAGCGTGTTGTGGGTGAAAACAATAGACTATATAAAAATCTTCATTGTTTAAAATATTGTTCCGTTCCTCGGTATTTTAGATATGTTAACATACGTTTTACAGGTGTAAGAACTTTCAAATGATAAATTGAAACCTAACCAAAATGATCGTTTGCGCGATTTCCTCGCAAATTTACCTTTAATTTCAATTTATGTGCTTTATTGTGTTAAGGAGGTGTGTATTCTGATATCTGACAAGAAGAGTTTTTGTGCTGTTCCCAGGGCCCAGTTGGATAAGCGTTATCAAAACGTTCCACGCTGTCCACCGGATAGGGATCTATCTAGTGAACAGCGTTATCCACCCTTCAAACAAACAGGGCCAAATTTCTTTCAGTGAAACCCAATAGCGCAGTTTTTTTTTCTTTGAAGCCCAACTGCTTACAATAAGACTTTGCAATGTAGCCCAAAAGAAATGTTTTCTTGTTCTTAAATTGTCTCAGTGAAGTACAACAAAGGAAGGTAGCTTTAAAAGGTTTTCAATCCAACTTACTGGTTTAATTCTCTCCTGTGACTCGGTTGTGACAAGACTTATACCTGTGGACTGCGCGGTTAAGCTTGTGGTAAAACCCCGTATGTGACCTGCCAGCCACTCCTAACAACACACATGGGCAAAAAGCGCAACTTACTTAGCGTTTTATGCCATATTTGGGCAACATTTATCTACCGCTATCAAAGATTAATTCATTCATTGACCACTACCCCAATAAAGCTTTTCAGACCAGAGAGTTCAACAAGGGGGAACTGAGAATAAATCCTATGAGTAGCTTAAGTCAAGTATTCTAAATTCTCAATCACGTTGCTTCCAACTTAGTTTGGATTCTGGAGTCGGTGGCCACGAGTTCAACGCGCTAGACACCGAATTGAAAGGTCTAGGTATGAACTCCAGCTTGGTTGCGTGCTGGATTGGTGCAAAGCAAGACAGACAACCCTCACGATGGCTCTTGAGGCGGGGGAGGGGACACTCCTTGGACTAACATTCCCATCCCGGCAGAGTAGTAATTCTTATTAGTCATACCCTATGGACACTTCATGATATAGAAACTGAGATATGTTTAAGTAGAAATAAGACACTATAGCTTCAAAAAACTTGACCTATTCTTTCAGGAGAAGGAGCGTCAGGTTGCTGTAGTGCTACCCTGGTGTTTCATTACAAGGAGACACGTGATGTGTTTTCCTACCATGCTCTCCTGAAGGTTTGCCAGTGTTCTGTGATCACGTGTTTCAAACAACACTTCAGAATCATTCAGAAGATGCTTGGCCAGATTGTCAGTCAGTATGTCCGTCTCCTGTACACAAATACCGTGCAAGTGAATCAAAATAATCATAATCGTGCAAATAATCATTTATAATAAGAACAATCATGTAATAAAATAATTATAAAAAGTATTATTATATGGCAAGGTAGTCCGGAGGTAAATCCGAGCGTTTTGGTTGGTTCTTACTTACTTGATAGGGATTTTGCCATACGCCCTTTGCGACTTATACCTTTGCTACAACTGACCATTATGATAAATTATGATGGAAACTCTCAATCAAAAAGCGCCCTCGTTACCTTTTGATTTCGTTTCCTTGCAGCTTCAATATCTTGTTCTCCATCTTCCTGAGACAAAAGAATCGTTCCAGATCAACCTCACGATTAAAAAAGTTACCACTCTGTTAACAGCAATTCTTAAACTCAAATTAAGGTTAATTTCAAATGGCTACCTGAAGAAGACATTTGGAAAAACTCCAGGACATGCTCTGTTTGTTTGTTTGTTAGCTCGTTTGATACTTTTTGAACTGTATCCTTTACAAGAAAAATTGGTGCGTTTGAAATTTCTACGGCAGGATTACTATTTGGATGGTTCTGGATATTGTAAAACTGAAACGACCATGAAAAAAATAACGTCTCTTTTTAAGGGTGCACAAAAACGGTTGGTTTATTCAAATGCGATCCAATCAAAGTAACCCTCAAGCGCTTTGCAGGGCTAAGCTGAACACTAACCTGTCTTTGTCGATGCGAGTGATGTTGTTGAAGGCCAGGCCAGTTTGGTAAGGACCTGCAGGGCAGAGCAACAGTTAGCCAGGCTCAAACAGCCTCGCATTAAGTTCCTTCTACACCGAAAGTCTATCTATTTCCATTCAATATCTTTTTTGAATCAAAAGTCAAATACGATAAGGTAATGTCGAGACGAGGTGGCGTAGCGCTTGGGATGCTAGACTCTGAACAGAAGGGTCTATGTTCGGACTCTCGGAGGGTCCCAGTGTTGCGTTTCATAACCAACCCGCCGGCACTGAACTCCCACAATGCCTCTCTCAACCAAAGAGTACAAAGATGCGCCAACAAACTATCAAGGAACATGGTCACCAGCTTAGGAAAGACTAGTTTTCCCTTCTAAGAGGAGTCGTAAAACTAAGAGCTGTCAATGACAGCTTGTATGCAGCAAAAGATCGTCGGCTGGTATGCCGACTTGGTCGGCTACTTTCACCTCATTTTACCACAAAAGTTGATAAAAAATCGTCAATATATTGAAGTACCATTGAAGCCCCTTGCACAGCGGCCATTTATCAAGTGGAATTGAATACATAATTTACCAAAGGTTCAATCGAACTTCGTGGAACGCCTAATAAAATAACATGGCGTTCACGAGAACTTTACCACCTCTTAATTCTTATTTCCTTCAATTTCAAACTTATTAAAAGCCTTGAATACCCTTAGTCCTGCAGATTCGGGATAAAGCTTAGCTGAAACGGGACAGTAGGTTCCTGAGCCTGAACATTTTAACTCCCAAGATCTGATTGTTAATTCTCCCCTCTAGCTGCTACACATTTCCTAGAAAATTAGTTACGGGAAGTTGGTATTCGGACACCATAACAATTTTCTATGTGATAAGTTTGAATATTCTTCTACCTGTTTGCTGGATAATGTATGAATATTATAGGGAGAAGTTACATGTTGATCACTTCCTTACCTCAAGCAGCGACTGATGTCTTCGTCTTTGGTCCAGTTGGCGCTGAAAACACGAGTGTGTCTGTCACCATCCATGCTGTATTTCAGCAGATCTGCAGATAAACAAAAGCGGTTGTAATTGAAATAACAATTTTTGCCAAGTTGGCAGAAGAGGACACCACGCGATAGAACTTACCTTTGTATGTCTCATAACACCGATTCTTGAAAATCGTCAGCATTTTGCAAACCATTTCAACAAACTGAGGCGAGTAGTTTGGTAAGCTGTGCATAAGATTCTTAAGATCCTGTATCAGTTGTTCTACAGTCGCAGTGCTCTAGTCAGACAAGGGAAAAGCACTAGAGTCGATTAAAAGTAAAACAAAAGAGGGTTTTAATTAATTCTTTTTATCATACGTGACTACCGTTCGTAGAAAAGGCGGTACTGAACTAAAAAGAGGCCGTAAAGATCTTATAAATAAATCCTTGAAAGACGACCATAAGAGGCTTAATAACCAACCGGAAACCGCCGGTAGCCAGCTTTAATTGAAAAACCCGACACTGAAATATTGTCAGGTTTTACAGGGAGACGCGGTATTTGAGTTCCGGGTGACCGCGTTGAAATCCGGCCGAATCGAGAGGTCTGGGTTCGAGCCCTTAGCAGGTCACTCTGTAACTTGGGTAAACTACTTTATTCTCAAAATGCCTCTCTGCTCCCGGAAGTTCAACTGGGTAGCGGTGAACGTTCAAAGAAACTTGACAAATTCTTTTTTAAATTCAGTAATTCTTTACTGAGGGAGTGGGACGTGGGAAAAGAAACCTGCCATGGAATAGAATCAGTTTTTTTTTTACTGCTTATTGCTTCACGTAATAAAAAACTGGGATAAGCTCCAGTTTGATTAGCTAGTAGGCTCGAAAGATTAAGCCAAAAAAAAAAAAACAAAAACCTACCTGTAGAAGGGGTCTGTTTGCTCCCAAGAGCTTCAAAATGTTTGCATCAGTGGTCCTTCGAAATGTGTCCGTGTCTATCGACAAAGAAAGCAAACAAAAAATTTCAATAACCAGCAACAGCATGTTAGCGCTTTCTGTAATCGCTTGAGTATTACATTCAGTCAGGAGGCCAATTTGAACATTGCGTATGTCTGAATTCGGATAAACTGAATAACGGAAGGCGCAGCAGCGGAAGCATCCGCTTCCCACCTTCAGTGGGAGGCGCACTACTGCGTTGTTGGAATGGTTATTGGTTCTCATTTCGCACTTATGAAAAACAAAAAACCTCAACCCACGTGGTGCCTGCTCCGAGAATCGAACCCTGGTCACAGAAGGCAAAAGCGACTTCTTTCATCACTGTAGCATTTCTAACCTTCAAACTCTGTTCTGCGGTTTTTTTTCTTTTTCTTTTTTTTCCTTTAGTACAATGAGTCTTACCTTCGGTTACTTCTTTCAACTTCTCAAGAATATGAAAGAGGATGTCCTCAATAAAAATGTCCTTCACGTAGTCGGTGATAAAACCATATAGAGTGCATCTCATCCTAAAAAGAAATGTTGTAAAGTTTTGGAGGAAGTAAAGTTAGCATTGAAATAACAGAGCCACAGCCTCTCACTGGTAAATTGTACTCCACATGAAAAATGGAGATTTTCCTCGAGTCACCTCTCCAGTAAAATTCAGAGTTACAAGTGAACAAGACTGGGCCAAAGTTTTTCCAAGCTGTCCCAAAAACAACTCCAAAAGTCCGTTAGCCTCTCTCATTCCTATTCTGTTTATGGTTTTCCGAGTGTCCCATGAGTTCGTCTGCATTTTCAAGCCGTTACTGCGATGTTTTAGTTTAGAGCTCAAGTGGGCAAGATTTGTCCGTATGGATAGATGAGTTGAAAAGAAATCTCTGGTCTTGCCGAGGCTGTTATTGCAACAAGTAATCGCTCTGACTGGATGAACACCAGTTGAACCAGGGAACGGCATATGATAAGCCGAATTACATACGCACTTTGATTTACTACTTACTTATATTACGCTTAGATTACTCTCCATCAACGAAAATTTGCTTTTTATCATATAAAACAGATAGATTCCATGTTACAGTACGTCTGTATAGTAACAGATCACAGAGGATGTCAAAATGTGGAAAGAACATCAGTGACACACTCAGTGGCGCCTCCTGAGCCACTCTTTTGTTTTTATTTCATTTCTAATAAGATACATGAAAAATTACTCAGTTCTGATTGGTTGAGATAAATGCAGTTTCCAGGTGAGTCAATGCAGAAGAGGGTTAATTCAGTGCAAAGAAGTAACAAACCAGACTGAACAATTCCTTGAACTGTTTAGCCGGACTTTGAACTTTTTTGCGCCTTAAAGATGTAAAAACATCATTGTGTATTACTGTTTTGATCGTACGCGGTTGTTTTGACCGAACGCACAATGTCACTTGCTGGGTTTGAATCAATTATTTTTGCACTTGATGCGCGCGCCTTGCTTCTGCGAAATTATGATAAGCTATCTCGAATTTTTTTCACGTATATTATTAGTAAGTGATCACATGATTTTTCTCGTGCAATTTGGAATAAATGTGCACTTGTATATTTTTTTTTAAGACCACAAATTGCACTCGCCCTATGGGATCGTACAATTTTGTCTTTGAAAAAATTTACTCCTGCTTATTTATTCCAAATTTCACTCGAAATCATGTGATTAACTATACTAAACAGATGAACGGAAACATGGAATCTATTTGTCAAGTTGACAACGTTTTCAAGTAGTAAATAAAGACAGGAAGGTAGAAAAGAAAGTAACTACAGCACACTTACTCTCCGTGTATCTTAATGGCTGATTCTATTTCACCGACAAAGGACATCAGAGGGCAGAAGACAACTAAGAAAAAAACAAGGAAAGCCAACGTTAGCGAGGTAAAGAAACACGGTAAATCGTTTCAAGAAAAATATCAACAGAGTCGATTGAAAATTCCGAACAATGACAATGTGTGAGCAACTGCGCACCTAACCCTTCCCTCCCTGAACTCTACAACAGTCAAATGATTACAAGTTGGGGTTAATGTTGGCTTAGAGGAAGGGTAAGCGCGCAGTTGCTCAGGGACTGACATTGATCCGTAAATTTATCATTACAACGCAAAGTATGTCATCACGACCTCGATTCACATGGATTTTTCTTATCAGTTCACCTGTAATGTTCCTTGGGTTTGGTTTACATAACAGCTGTGGCTTGGTGTTGTGTAGCGGCACTCCATAAGTGTCATCGTCATCTTCATTCTGAAAGTTTTAATAGAAGACAAGGTAGTATTTATTTGCAAGGGACATAAACGTACGCTATGACTGAATACAATGAAATCAGCTCCGCGCGAAAACAGAGAATGAGAAGAAGAGCGTCCCCTGACTCCTCCTATTTGCAATGCACTGCACAACATACATTTTTACTGAGTGAGACTTGTCATGGTAGGTTTGAAAATTAATCGATTTAGCCACATTGTCTTTAAACGGAGCTTTGCTATCATCGATCGCACAGTAAAATTAAGCCTCGCAGAAAGAGGATCACAACATTCACTCATTTTGAACGTTTGCTAATTTTGCAAACTAGTATTGTAAAAAATTTTTTTGATCACTCATGGAAGTTAAAGGGTTACAAAACTCTACAAAGTCAATACCTAAGTAAGAGAAAAGTCATTTTTTATTCCACTGCTAGAGTCAGAGGATTTTGGTTGTTTTACGATAAAATTTGCTTAATTCCCCTTTAAGGCTCTGTAATATTCTTATTATCACTTCTTACTGGTAGCTAATTAGCAGTCAATTTTCCATAATCCCCCTTTTACAATCAGTCGGCGGCGACTGATCCTTCCTCCGTTACCCTGAAAACCATATGATCCCCTAAAAGTCCTCCACACCCTCCTCCCTCTCCACACTCCCCCATCTCCCCCCCCCTCCCCCCTCAGACGATTAAGAACGACTGGCCCCTAAGGCTTGGACGCTCTTAGAAGTGGCAAATTTCAGCTTTAAAACCATTTGTACCCAGTCCCCTGATGACCCTTTTAGATCAAAGATTTTTCTACATACCGCAGTACCAGCCATGCATTCTTGGCGCCTCTCCCGGATGTACGTATTCATACTGATAGCTGACGAGGAACCTTCAAAACGATACAGTGGGGTCTGAAAAGCAAATGAATAAAGGGGGTAAGTTTCTAAAGAAACTGTGGTGCTGCATCGGTAGGAGAGTATAACAGGGTAATTTAGCATTATCAAGGAGTTAATAACGTAAACTGGCCACCGTAGAGAGTTTCAAAGCTGACGTTTCGAGCGTTAGCCATTTATCAGAGCGAACGACGAAGGAGTCGGAGGATTTTGGTTGTTTCACGTATTTGGCTTCTAGTTTTCGAAATATATCTTACAACTTCATCTGAACCTCGTCTAGATCGCGTAAGGCCGCGCGAAAGAAGAAAAGAACACGAACGAAACCATTAAAGTGTTAATAATGGCGCACAAAAAAATCTGCAGCGTCTTAAGGTACGTCTTGTAAAGCGAAGCCTGAGAAAAGGAGAAAAAGCAAAAAAAGTTTGGATCGTTCTAAGAGGCTTTTTTATTGCTCCGCTTTCATGTTTTATTACCACGTTTTCCAATGTAATGCGAGGGCACATTCTGTGCGTTCCGATACCCTAAAATGGTAAAATGAAGTAGCAGAGGAAGAATAAGACTCAGTATTCCTACCCGTTCATCAGACTTCAGAGGTCCTCTTCTTCTAAGAGAAAAGAATGCTGCCACATCACTAGGAAAAAGGAAATAAACAGACCATTACTGAGCTTTATTCAACTGTTTAAAAACTAAATGCAATCAGTGAGAACCGTTCATTGAAGTTTTACAAATCACAATGACAAAATTTCCTTTCAAGTATCAAAACGGATTCGGGAATTGCACTGGTTTTTCGCTTTCCTGAAAGATCAATGCAGAAAACTTGTACTATCCTCCGAATGAATTCGACGCAAACTCAAACAATGCGCAATTGTATCCCTCGCGTTTTCCCTCGCTTTCATAAAAAAGTTTGATTTTTGTGACTTAAGTTCCCACCACTGGCACCTCGCATCATTTTCCTTCGTAATAATAAGTAATAAAAAGTAATAATAATAAAAATAATAATAACAATAATAAGAATAAGAATTTAGCCGTGGACTTTCCTTGAGGTAGCTCTACCTGTCCACTGTCTCCAGGTCGAATAGGAATTAGGAACGTTGGTTTTTGTGAAGGGAGGAAAACCGAAAGGAACCGAACATAAGCCTTCAGGGCAAGGACGAGAACCAACAACAAAACTCAACCATCATGTTACGCCAGTTCAGGGAATCGAAACCCGGGCCACAGCGGTGGAAGACGAGCGCTCTCACCACTGCACTATCCGACTTCCCGCTTACTGTAACTATTTTAAAACATACGTGCTCTTATAGCATCGTTTACGAAGATAAGAAAATTACCTTGATGACTCAGTAAAGCTCACTGAAGTTTGTTGTGTTGCAGTGTTTTGAACATCTAAGTAGTCACCCAGCAATACTTGGATCTGAAAGTAAATTTTACTATCAGGAGAACGAATGCAACAAAAACCCTACACTTTTGTGATCCTACATCTTCAGTACAAAATGTTTCCACTTACAGCAAATTGAATCTCAGACCAAACATCGTCAATGGTGTAAATGTCTGTATCTCCTAATAACAAAAAGAGGAAGGGTAAACTTGCTTAACTTCCCAACTAAGAAAGAAAATGGTTCCATCAAAATTGAGCAATTTCTAGCTTAATCTGTGTTCACAATATTTTAAATACCCAATCAACTATAACTATAGTGAGACCCGTTCAGCCCAGTACGCACTTTTGTTGGAAAACATCCTTCCAAAAAACATACGAGGGCTGTACGCATTGGTGCGATTAGGGCTAGAGAAGGACCCACAAACCGGCGTAAGGGCCCGAGAGAGGCATGTATAGCTTGCGAGCTGGCCCTCATCATTAGTGATTCGGCCCGAGTGTTTCTTCACCCGCGGGGACGTATGAGGCTTTGAGCAAGGAAGGAGTCTGTAGGGGGTCTAGCACTCACGCCAGACCCCCCGCAAAACTCTCTTCGACTCGTCTTCAATCTTCCCGCAGGCGAAGAAACTCGCACTCGGTCAATAAGTACATATTAAAAGGCTGGTTTTGCACTTAGGCAAGCTAAAGTGAGTCCTATGTTTGGAATGGCTAGTACTTTCAAATTTGCCAAATCAGGTTGCCACTTGATGAGATTTCTAATAAAAATTGTTTTAAAAATAGGTTGCGTAGCTTTCCATCAATATGGTATGTCACATGCGAGTTGCAAACAGTTAAATAACACACAAGTAAATTATATTTTAGAACGTACCTAAATCAATCGGCGTATCTGACGTCTTCTGCAAAAAGAAAATGGAAAAGAGCATTACATCACCAATTAGACTTTCTTGGAAAATTATCACAAGGTTTTCAAGGACGACACGGTTTATCTCAAGCAAGAATAAACAGATGAACCTAACGCGTTCTCCTCTCAGTTACTGCGATGATTCATTTGTGTTACAAAAGTTCTTTTAAAACATATTCCCAAACACCTAGCCGTGTGTGACAAAATATATTACTGTAACCTCGCAAAGGAACTATTGCATGATCTGATGAATACGTTGGCAACAAGGAATTCAACATTTTGAAAGAATGCATGGAATACTGTCCATAACTTCACGCCAATTTCAATTTCTACAAAGGTGCACAATAATATTCATAGAATCCTCTATTTTGAAACTTTTCTGACAAAAAAAATATTATATAGCCGGCACGGGGCATTTATGCAACAACAGCAACCTGAGAAAGAGTGATAGAATTTTATTTATTAAATCTGTTTGGTAAAATACAAAGAAAACTCATTCCTTACAATGATTCGGTGGATTGCAGAAAGAATTGTATCATGTGCATGAGCCACGGCTCTGAACAAGTCGAACACCACTTCTAAGAGTTCCAAAAGGTAATGAGGCTGATTCTGAAAATTTAAAGAAAAACTCTTTGTTACTTTCTATTGGGAGACGACATAACTAAATGTTTATAATATGCTGGCCGTCACAAAAAGTGTCCCACTTGGAGCTTTATCCAGGGTCACTGGGTTGTGTTTGAGCGCTTTTCGATCGAGTATCGTAAAAACCAATGGTCGTAAAACCAAAATCAAAGTTTTTTACAGCGGCCACTCAGATGAAAGGAAAATAACCCAAAGAGCCAAGGGGAACTCAAAGTGAAAACAAGCTCAGCGCCTCAAACGCGGGAAAACGCGGGCGACCAAGTTGTTAGTTTTGCATGAGACTGGTCGAGTGAGTGACGCGAGTTTTCTGGACCAATCACAAAACGAAGTAAACCAAAACCAATGCACTCCTAAATTAGTTTCGACACTCAGTAAAAAAATTGCTCCATTGTGTAAGACATCATTCTCTCTCAGTAATTCGCAAGCGTCTTTTCGTCATGAAGGATTAAACAGAAACATTTAACTGTCAGCAAAACATGAAATCATTTCGCGAGCTGGGGAAGGTGGATGACCTGCAAAGGACTTGCAACTTTTTTCGGAAGGAGTTCCTGTAGCAACATTCCTTGTAGATTCATGCTTCCAAAAATGCAATAGGCTCCAACTTGCCACAAGAGAGTCGGTATGGTACAAGATCTTTTACTTACATGTATCAAAATTAATTTTGGAAAATCCAAGACAAATTGTACTAAATACATGCAAATACCTGTTGAAGTATGATCTCTCCAGGTTGTCCAATCCTGTTCAAGAATCCAAAAGTTAATTTAAAGGGGAAAAAAGAGGGAGAGAAAAAAAAAGGATGAGGAAAAATAAAAACCTGGGATTTATATACAATCCCATTATCAGACATCAAGTATTCCAAGTTACACAGAGGGCTTATTTGATTGGAGAAACTCTCTTCTTAATTTATTAATTTGCAATACTAGCTCAGTTCAGCTTTTAAAGCTAGTTTAAATGGGGACCTGTATAAACAATTTGAAGACCCTGAGTGTTGGCCAGCCTGGGACCTGAACCCTCAACCTACTGCACAACAGTTCAGTGCTCTACAAAATAAGTTAGCCATGCTCAATTAAATTACTACCAAAATTCAAGCATGACAACCATTTTGTGAATGTGCAAAGAAGTACCTTTCTAACCTCAGAAAACTAATATACATTCTTGAATACAAACTGAAATACATTCTTGAACAAAAAGGACACCTCTTACCTCTTAGTAACAAGAGTTGTAGCCCTATGGATAATTAATGACATCTCTATCTTCATTCGCTTTTTGATTGCCTGTCAAATCAAAGTAGAAAGCAGCAAAACTTGAGGAAGGGTAAATTTTGTTTGGATTGATTACCTTTTAGACATTTGTAAGGTCTTTACATCAACCAGTAGGGAATATGTTACTTCCTGTTTACAGGAAACCTTTTTGAAGCAATAAATGAAACCAGTTTGCTGCCTGTTCACTAACCCTTTGTTTATACCATTATACCCACTTAATTTCAATAATCCAAATTCACATACATAGAAGGTCTCATTGGTGTCATTTCTTTGTCATTTAATTCCTTTTTTTCTTCCTTCTCATCGGCCAGGCACCCAACAAGTGACCTGCATATACAGTTACTGCATAATAACAGTCTTCATAATAACATAATAACGGTGGTGCTGAAATATAGCACCACTGCTATAATTGCATTGGTCATTATAGAGAAATGGGACAGAATCCTTGACCGATCAGAGCTTAGAATCTCTATAATAACCTGAGCAATTACTAATGGCGAGAGGACCGGGTGGATTCCGATTCAGTTTGTAATCATACAAGTGAGTCCCAATTGTCAATCAGTAGCATGACTACAGACATAATTAATCATAATTATTACAATTTCTGAAAAAAAGACATAAATTGAGGAGAAACATTTCCATAAGGGACAGTGTCTAAATTAAGAAATTCCTCCATTCTGGAAATTCCCTAGTTTTCAGGATAAGTGGTTGTTGCTATGGTTATTGTGATCAATTCTGTGATTGGTAGATTTGGCTGAAAGGACTAAGTATGATTGGCTGCTTCAACTGTCCAATTACAGGTGTCTGATTACAGCCAACCATCTGATTACACTGTCCGATTACAACAGTTAAGAATGATAAGTGAAAAAAAAACAGCTTATGTATCAATCACATGTGAGGAAATTGTAATGGTTATGACTGCACTAGTAACAGATATGCTCTTAATTTGTATAATCAGAAAAGTATACATAAATTATGATACCTCTAGTGCTTCAGGGATCTTCCCAAGAAGAGATAGGGACTCTATGATCACGATCATGAAGTGATTACTGTCAGCCTCAGGGTCAGTATTGAGATCTTCAGTGACCTAAGACAGAACTATATAATTTACATATTGTTCTTTTCATCATTGTTCATTCCCCAGATCTAAATACGTGCTAAGGTCTAAATATCTTAGTACTATCCCCAATATGTCAAATCAAGCAATATCCATCTTATGAACACTCTTCTCATGACTAAAATATTTGATTCAGGGGTGAAACCGTGGGGAAAAATTAGACGACAGTCTCTCCTAGGGGTCAGAGGGTTAATACTACTAGCTATGAGCTTAATATAATTATATAAAAAAGGAATTGCATAATACAACTTCCCTTGATGCTTACATATATTACTTACATGTATCAACTTAAAGAAGGCTGTCTTTAGACATGGAAAGTTTGTACAAATATTAAATTATATACAATTAATTCTCTCATTTTCACCTCAGTTGAAGAAAGAGAATCATCTGAAGATATTGTTTCAGAAAGATTAAATGATCCTGAAAAAGTAATCACACTGAAAATTACAATTACCAAGTAATAAAACACCTTTCACAAGCATAATCATAAGCACCTCTTGTTAGATAATAGAGATTCAAGTTTTACAACCACCATGTATGTCATGTATGGAAAAAAATTAACTTGACTTCAATTTTTTTACAAGATAATAATCATTCCAAAGAGATAAATTCAAAAATAAATGTAGGTTTGTCTAACAGGGTCTGTAGAAATTAAAAAAAAGTGAAATGCAGTAAATCTTTCTTTGCCTACTCACATTAGTTTTTGGAAGTGCTAGTAAAAGTAGAGCAATGTAAAATATTTCAATAGGAATGTTAATGGTAATATCACAAGCTTATTGTGTTGTGATGCACTACACCCATACCCATCAAGGTCATAACACCAAAGAGCAATGATAGTACAACTGGTGTACCATGAATATAAAGAAAAAATCACTGATCATGACAATTTTAAGCTTTACCAATGATCATGATAATTATGGTAATTAATGTTTGGCTAGAGAGCTAACATCATCAAGTAGTTCTAGACCTTTTTTTAACTCCTTCAACCCAGAAGAGATTTCAGTACATGTAATATCTCTTAGCAAGCTAAATGCATTATCAAGCAAGAAAATGACTAGAATTGACAAAATTTTCAGCTAGAAGATGCCATCTTATAAACACAAATTCTTTCAACTACCGGTAACCAAGAAAGAAAATAATGCATAACAACTGAAAGGGAGAATTGCTATTCACATCTTACTTGAAGCAGTGCGGGAATGGGATTTTTTAAAGAGTCCTCCAGATGACCCAATACTGGACGATGATTCTGTTGAAAAGACACTTGTCAGTAGTAGTAAATTTTTGCATGGGCATATCTTGCCACAATCATATTTAGATTTGAATTTAAGATTCTGCAAAAATTTTATTCTTTGATTTACTTCAAAAAATTTAACGCTTTCGACCTTGACACAATTTGTTTACATGACATGTAACTATAAATTCATCCCAAGGATGGTTCTTTCCTTTTAGTAACCAATCACTCAAATATAACAATAACAACCTAAGTATGTAGCATGGGCACAGCGTGTACTTGTACCTTTTACAGCCAAAGCAGCACTGTCTGTCATGTATGCCACCAATTTTGCTCTCTTTTCTCTGCTTTTCTCTGACTTCAAATACAGATGAGTGGTCAATTCTTTAATCAGCAACTCATGCTCCACCTGAGGAAAAGGACAAAAATAAAATAATAAAAACAATTGTTACAGTCACAGTAAACTCTCCGACTGAACCTCTTAGAACCAAACCTAGAGTACTCCTAATAGCAGTGTGATACTTCTCAGGCAGTAACTAGTAAAATTTACTGCCTGTGGTACCCCTTGCTCTATGTACATGCAGTGTAATTAAAGTAAAGTCAAGGTTATTAGGGATCACTATTACCACTGAAAACTTCTCCATAGTACATCAACATAAGATTGAAATCTCAGTTAGAAATCATACAGTGATACAAATTAAAGCAACAGAGCAAGATAGTTGCACAGGGTACATGTACCTACACAGTATTCCTAGCAACAAAATACTGAACTTTATCAACCTGATCAGGAACTTTAAATCCATGCACAATGAAGAATCAAGACGAGTAATAGTGGTCTTAAAATGAGCTCAATTTGTTGAACAAGCTTTGAACACTTGCCTTTTTGCGTGACTGTAAATCAAGACGAAGATGTCTCAATGCTTCCACTCCAGACAAACTTCCTTCTAGTAGAGAAACTGAAGAAATACACAAATAAAAATTAGGATCATTTTATCTTAAGGTCCCCCTGCCCCCCATACATTTTTTCAAAATATACATGCACAGTTGTATTTCTAGCTACATGTATCTCTATCTTACACCCTTTTTCATCACTGAATGGGATAACATAACTGTAATAGTGAGGGATCATTCTGAAGATAAGTGAACCAGAATCCAGTTCTACAGCTCCTCGTTCCAGCTCAGGGTAGGTACTGTTTTGTGTTCATGATTACTATAATTTAATAATGCCTCTCTCTACAAGGAAGAACATGTACATTTACAATACATTTAGGTATCACTAAAATGACAGCAAAAGCAGAGAAAGTGTGAAAGTCAAGTAATAAATCCAATAGACTATTGTCCTATACAGCAGTTGAGTACATGTACATGGAGCACTCTTTTATCATACTTAACACTAACAAAACCAAGATAACCTTCCAATGGATAATAACATACTTTCTGAACAGGCAAAATAGAATGGATCAGAGGAAGATGTTTTTTGTCTTGTTGCACTCATGACAAGACAAAAAACATCTTTCTCTGTTACTTTACTGAGCTTAAGACTTACCATCCTTATTCTTTTTAAAACAAAACATGACAGTACAAACCTGTAGACACAAGAAGCTCTGTTGCATGCAGGTAATATTTCTTTTTCTTATATTTCTCAATCTGTTCAGGGACATTTTTCACTTGATCTCTAAAAATAAGAAAAACAATTATACAAAGAGAGACTAGATACAGGATTGTATATGAAGATCTGAGCTGGCAACTGCTATATTTGCAAGGTTTCAATAGGTTCTTCAGTTTGGTGTGATTTACATGTAGATGATACAGCTTTTAGACAAGAAAAGACTTTAAATTTATTACTTGAAAACAGCTTTGTTTTTAATAAACTATTTCATTGTTCCTCAGTGTGGGGGTAGTTTATACAAGTCCAGTGAAAAGCCATGTTTATTTGATAGAGACACTGTGAATAAACTGTTATTACTACTACTATAACTCTTATCATCATCTCTTCTACAGACCTGTTTGAAAGCATTCCAGTTGAGAAGCCATGTGCATGTGAATATGTAACTCAGTGCATACATGCTGAATGAATAGTCACCTACACTTAACAACTACATGTTGCGTATCCACTGCAGTGGAGGTGGCTTGCCGTGAAAATTTAACCCGTTGCAAACTACGAGCTAAATTCTCACAGACAGCCACCAACACTGACTCTGCAGCACTACAGCGAGCTTTCTGATTCAGTAAAAAATCCTTGAAAATAACACTTACACATCACAACACATAACAAAACAAAATAATTTAAAATTCTAGCAAGAGTACTGCATGCATACTGAGGTCTTGATGATTAATAACCCTTTGGCCCCTAAGAGTTACAAGCATCTAATTTCTCCTCACAACATCACATTTGAATTACACATTAAGGTCACAAAAAATAAAGGAAATGATCATATCTAACAAATTATCCTGTCAGTTCTAAAGGGAATGTTTGGAAAGGAGTATGGAAAATATGGATGCTGATGTTTGAACTAAAAAGTTAAATGAATCGGTGGAGGAGAATTTGATGAAATTCACCCCTTGTTATGCTAACAATGAACCATACTACATGTGTTGTTTATTATTTACAAGAGCCTACACCAAGATGATCTGTTTCTCAAATCCTTACAGAAGAAGACAAGATTGAGATAAGGAAGTAAATCTAATTTCCTGGTCTTAAAACCAATATTCCACCAAAACTGAGCTGTGAGTGCAAGCTGAGTGCAAAACACTGTTTTTACACCTTGAAAATAGACTACAATCCTTTCGGTCAACATACATGTATAAAGCCGACTAGTCTGATAATACAAAAGGAAACTACTTACATTCTGTCTAAAAGATTTAAAACTTCATTGTACTCCAAGCCATCCATCCAATACTTTTTCAACTCTTCCCTCTTGCAGTGCAGTAATGACTTGCATGCTAACAAATTCTCTCTAAGAACTTTCACTCTCTGAAGTGATGCTGTGTATATTTTGAAATAAAAATCCAAAGATTAGCCCCTGAATTAAAATCTTGATAAAACAAAGAAACCCTGGTCTACTCTGACAATCTCACCTATGTGTTAACACACTTCCTCCAATAAGTGCCTTTTATGCTCTAATAGGCACCCTAACCAAATACAAACCCAGTCCCAAGGCCATAATTCCAAATAAGTAGCTCCCTCGCATAACTGTCCCCCCTCCTCCCTTACTTTCTTAAACAGAAGGGTTAAAAGAAAAACCCTTTTCTATAATCACAACTTTATTTCTATAATTTCATTATATGACACATCTTTTCCTTAATATGACTTAAGGAAAAAATGTATCATAAGAAACACCCCTCATCTTAACCTGATTTCAAAATACAGGTTATTGCCCCAAAGTCACAAAAACAGACCTTCAATTCTTGTTGAGATTCCAGTAAATGTTTGAATGCTTGATTTCAAGTGATCCTGGTGTGCTGCAGGAGGGGAAATCATTCAAAAGTTACATGTAAAATGTGGTTCAATCCATCCCTCAATCACATGCACCAACATGTAATTACACTTCTCAAGAAGTGGACCACAATTTCAATGCTCTTTGTTGTTCTTCAGCCTTCTGCTGTATTCTAGGAAATTTTACATTACTTTTACTTAGGACAGAACAGATACATGTAACTAGAATAACTCAGAATAAAAAGAAGAGAAAATAATCATGACACAGAAACAAATGAAGCAAAAAATTATTTTAAAAAACAACAACACTGACATTCATTTCAACCACATTTATAAATGAACGAGACATATAGAACATAGCTGCCGACCTAAATTTAGCTTCAAGTCTCTGAGACCCATAAAAGATTAAAAATATTTCTAACTAACATGCTTAACTCCTTAAACCAAAAATATAAATCCTTTAAATAGAGCCTGTCACTCTAAGTTAAAGATGAAAATAAAAAAATTGTGCTGCCCTGTATACACACCATACAAATACATTCCTTTGCACAAAACTTTGTCATGATCTTTACTTTTCCTGAAACAAAGAATGCCTTACCCTCCACCTGTCTGTTAAGCTTGTCGTCATATTCATTCAGTTCATGTTGCAATCTTTCTCTTTCAATAACTCTTCTTTCTGCATTATCACTGATCAAAAAAACAAACAAATTTTATTTCTATTTTTACTTGTTTGGTCCAAGTACATTGACAGGTAAGAACAACACAATCTGTCAGTTTTAGACACCTAGACGTCATAAACCATCAATTCTGTACAATGTTTCATCATATGATATAACAATGTGTATTATTCTTTAATCAATCACCAATGTCTTCATCTAACATTATGAAGCTCCTATACAAAACTGTTTCCAAACATAGCTCATGACCAATAGGAAAAATTTACCCTCCTGCAAGCAGGCTTTGGAAAGTTTCTCATACGACCCAATACTACTATAAATTAAAGCCCTAGTCTCAAAAGACAATGAATTTTGTTATATACCTGGACTTTCACTCAACAAAACAAGCACTATAATTGTTTGATTCTTGGTCACAAGCCCCTAATCAAATTCAAATGTGTCCTGAATGGGATACAATTGCGCAGTTGTTGCCCACGTGCCGAATACAACAGCATCCTTTTGCCTCATGATTGTTTAATGGAAAGTCTAAATATATAACAAAGCAATTAATGTATGGTCCCAAGGGAAACAGTTAGTTTTGTTTTCCCAAGAGTTCCTGATGTTTCCTGAGACTAAGACAAGGAAAACATCAGGACTTGAGGGAAAACAAAACTAACTAGATGCCCACAGGACCATACATTAAGTGTATGGTGTTTGCCAAATTATGTTCTTCATGCTTCCCTGGTTTCTGCAATAGGGAGCAATTTCCTTAAACTTCAATCGTTTATGTATGAACTGCCTTTTATTTAAGTGTTTTTCTCTTCCTTTCAATGCCTCAGTTCAATCCCCTCACATATTACAATGATTCCAATAAGTGTTCATCAAAGCAACTGACCCATGGGTACCTCACACCCCTTACAAAAGAAACATAGATTCCCTGTATCAGCTTTATATAATGCCTGCACATATCTAAAAGTTCAGAATACAAAGGCCGATGCACAAAAAAACTAGATAAGAGTTATTGACAATAGAAGAATCCACTTTGAACTGAACGAAACATAATAAGGATACCAGACACACGCCTAAAAAAATTTGGACCATTGAAATCCCAGCCGGAAGTAAGGGAATAATTTTCTTCCCGTCTAAGTCATTACCAAGTCATTTTCAAATGAAAAGGAGCTTTAATGAAAATTGTAAATAATATCAAGCGAAAGCCCGCTCTGCATGGTATTCCGCAGTTTGGCAATATCGCAGATTTTCGCGACATTTGCAAACCAGCCTTACTACAAAAGAAAGTATTGCGGAAATGTCCATTGACCAGCTGCTCGCAATTTCCAACATTTCTTTTTTGATTCAAAAGAATTATGCAAGAAAAATACCATCTAAACGTGCAGTTCTCCTACGGTGCTTGATGCATAATCTATAAAGTTCACGCATTGTCTCCATGATTAAGCTAACTGTGGTGTCCGCCTAAATATTTGCGAATTCCGAGCTGCAAAAAGTTTGTTTCGGACTCACCTGCTTAACAACGTGTTTATGACCTGTAAAAGCACTTTGGACTAAATGAAAGAAACAAAACTCAGTATAAACAGGTACTTTTTCAAAGAACTCATGAAAACCAGACGAGATTACCGAGGAATCCTTGGCCTTTCCCTGTTTTCTTCCCTTCGTAGTCGCCATTTTGTTTAATGTGAACACCGCTGTAAAAGATTGTGGACTCAGCGGATGGTAGCCTACTGAGCTTAAGAGCAACAAACCAACCATGAGTCATTTACAGCTTGATTTGCAAAATCTGGTGAGACCAAATATACTGAAGTTGATTCCTTACAGATGTGCAAGGGATGATTACGATAACGGTAACTCTCTTTTAATCTGATTTTAAAAATAGTATTGTTAGATGAGCAAACCACGTTGTGCTAATGAAGAACAATGCACCTACGAGACCGTTATGCGAGACAGGAACTCTGAGCTTCGATCGAAAAATGCACATTTAAACTCGTCGGTTTTTAAACTTCTCGTTTTTATTTTTTTTGCCGGTTGTCGAGGGAGATAAGATTTGAAACAATTTCATCGTCATTGATCAATGGCTGCCCCCTGTAAAGTATTCATAGATCAAGTGACTCCTTTTCGTTTCAACTCAATCAAGGTAATTTATTCACCATGCCATCCTCGTGATTAGTCATTTTACTTTCACCTAGGAAAGTATATTTACAATACGACTGAGTACAGAAGATGTCCTTACAATAGTAACGCCTTGTAACGCAATACACTCCATTTGCACGAGCTATATGACTTATATCCTCTTCCGAACAGTAAATGATCAGTCAGTTATTCAGAGTTTCCTTATTTTTATGTAGTTGTAGTTAGAAATTAAAATTAAAACCTCATTTTACATTAAAATCTTATCCGAAGAAAGAAAATGAATGTTAAGCTAAATAGAGATTACATGAAACTGTAGCACCAATGATTTGCATTTACAGTTTAACGATAAATTATCTCTTGATCACTCGTTGGAGTTATAGAGTTAGAGCCATTTTCCTCTTCTTTTTTTTTCATTTTTCAATATTTTATTTCTAATGAAAATTTGTCTGAAAAGAGTGAGCTAGGAGTACAGTTTACTTATGATTCATAAGATAAAAATGGCAGAAAAACATAAAATGTTCTTTAACTATCACATGAATTAATCAAAAATCATTCCTTGTTTTTCTGATACCAGGCATTCTCCTGGATGCCAATGAATGTTCATATGGATCATGCATTCCAATGGAAGGTGACATGAATCGTTACCCCTCCCCCTACAACTTTGATTTGAAGGAGAAAATAGCAAAGTACAGGGGGGTGAGGAAAGAGCAGATATATCTTGGAGTGGGTAGTGATGAAGCAATTGATATGGTGGTAAGGGTATTCTGTACCCCTGGTGAGGGAAGTCTATTGATCACCCCACCTACATATGGAATGTATAAGGTAAGATTGAAAAAACTTTTGCAGGAACCTCTTGAAAAGTTTCCCCTTTCCAGTAAAGTAGTAAGAGTAAGCACTCAGGCTAAGTGGTACATACTCAAGAGCTGCCGGGTAGCCAGCCAAAACTGCTGGCTAATCTGTCATTTTTAGCGCAGCTTCTTTCTCTTTATTCTATTATAAGTGCTAGTTAAAAATCATCTCATTTTAGTTTACCAGTAACAGCTAGGTTAAAGTGTATGAGTCAATTATAAATTCAGAATTTGTGCAAAGGTTTTGTACAAAGTTTTTGATGATCACCAGGAACATTAGAAGTTGATAGTTCTCAGTTCCTTGCCTTGTGTGTTTCTGTCAAAACAACATGGCAACCAAGATAACATGTTGGTCTAGTATTTCTTATGCTTCCTCAACTTTCAAGCTTGTTGACAGCCCTGCCCATACTACCAGAACTTATCCTAGTATCTCTAGCAAGAAGGATGCTACTGGTAGGTAGTTCATTACAGGTTAGGCTCCTATCTCTCCCCTCTACTTTCCCCCCCTCCCCCTTAACTCCTTCCTCCCTTCCCCCCAACTGTAGCTGATATTAATAACTAGTACTCTTTTTTCCTCCTGGATGGAGAGGGGGATAGGGAGAGAGAGACGCTGTGAGTGTAAAGTGTCTTGTCCAAGGATGAAACACAATGATTATAGCACCCTTAATTAGAGCCCAGTTCTCCTACTGTCTCCTTCTGCAAACGTTTACTGTTGCCCTACTGTTGAGGATTATGTAAACTGAGAACTTTGTAATAAATTTAATTAAATTTTGTTTCATCATGAGACATGAAAACATATGTTGCTTGATTGTTGACGAGCAGACCTTTTCGCAGGTTGTGGCTGACATAAACAATGTGCAAGTCATTTCAGTTCCTCTGACAGAAGAGTTCCATTTGCCAGTTGATGAGGTATATATTTATATATGCAATTTAGTCTTAACTTCAGTTTACATGATGGTAATCAGAAACTCTCACTTTTTCACTCTCAGGCTGAAAAAGTGGGAAGTTACTTATTTGAAATATTTTGTTGTTGTTATTGTTCTCAGTTCATTTTTCATTTTCCAAGTTCTGGTTTCATTTTTATTATTACCTTTGATTGTTCCCGTACAAATGAATGAATGATACCATAACAGGTTGAGTGCTATCGGTGGAGAAATTTCAGAGAAATAAAATTAACCCTTTTATTCTCATGAGTGACCAAAACACAATTTCCTTCCTTAAAGTCTCAATACAATATCAAGCAGACAAGTGATTTGAATAAATTAAAATATATATTAGGGGATTATCATGATCAGTTGATCCAATACCAAATTCTCTGAAATAACACGATGAGGGTTGCATGGTAGATAGTAAGGAGAATTACTGATAAGATCTTTGGAGTAAAGGGGATGCTGGGTAAGGCTTTGATGACATGTTTCCCAAATGCCAGTTGGGCCCTAGTTCTAACTGAGCTTCACATTGAGCCACAGATGATAAACTTAACCTCTGGCCGTTATTTTTTTTAGGTTGTAGATGCAGTAACTCCACAAACCCATGTGATTTTTTTATGTTCCCCAAACAACCCAACAGGCAACACTCTGGCAACTGACAGAATTATTGCACTTCTTGAGAGATTTGAAGGAATAGTGGTGATTGATGAAGCATATGTTGATTTCAGCACTTGTGGTAGTCTGTGTTATCTTCTCGACAAATATCCTCGCTTAGTAATTCTGCAGACTTTTTCCAAGGCATTTGGTTTGGCAGGAATAAGGTGAGATTTTTATCACAAAAAATCTACAGAATTTATTTTGATGTTAATATCCCACCTTAGATTTTGAAATACCATGTGAGGGCTTTTTCTCCACTCAAGCCACTAACAGACGAAGGAGAAACTAAATGGTGCATTTTAGCAGAACCTGTTTGTCAAATGTTGCAAAGTTTTGAAGGATTCAGATTACCTGATTCTGACACAGTTTTTTTTTAAGGTTGGAGAGTTTGATTAGACAAAAAAATTCACTACTCCTTTTCTCTTTTAAGGTTTGGGATGGCCATTGCTCATGAAGACATCATCGCAATATTCAACAAAGTGAAATTTCCTTATAACATCAGCAAACTCACTGCTTCTGTAGCTCACAAAGCACTAGATAACGTACACCTTATGGAGGCTAATGTGAAGAGCATTGCTGAACAGAAAGAAAGGATTATTGAAGAGCTGGAAAAAATTCCAACAGTGAGAAAGGTAATTGGTGTGGTTGTTACAAGTGCATGTAACCTAATTGGTCATTTTACAGTTGTGTACTTAGTTGCCAAGCCTTTGATTTGGAGTGAGGCTGAAGGTGACCTTGCTGTGATAGAGACCTGTATCTAGTTAGCATGATAACAAAGTAATTTTCATTTGAAAAGCAGGAAGGTTTGTATCATTAACAAGGTCAACCTTAGCCTCACTCCTATTCAAAGGCTTGGCAATCAAGCACACAACTGTGAAATGGACTATTGAATTATCTAAACCAAATACATACCATCAACATTAAGTGAACACATCTACAGCTGTATGTCTGTATTTCATTTAGATTCTTAACTCCTTACACCCTAACATCATCATGCATATTCTCCATACTACTCTCTATACAAGGTGCTGGCAAGGAGAATTTGCTTAACAATCAAGAGTTGCATTACGCTGTTTACTACTGACTGAGCGCTTGGAACAGGCAAGGTCCCATGGGTTTTCTGGTTTCACATGGTGCAGTTCCAAGTTTACGGTCACAAATGACAGATAGGATTGAAATATGTGAAAAGCTTAACGAACCAGATATTCGACCATGAACTGACTGATGCATAAAGTGATTTAATTTTTCCTTTCATGTCTTTTTTTGTAGATTTTTCCATCAGATAGCAACTTCGTTTTTCTGAGGATAGACCACGCCTATGAAATCTACAAGAAAATGGCCTCAGAGAAAGGTGTTGTGATTCGCTATCAAGGATCTAAAGTCCACTGCAAAGATTGTGTCAGAATTACCGTTGGGACCTCAGAGGAAAATGACGAATTGCTTAAAACCTTGAAGAAAACCATAGCAGAGCTGGATGAGGCTCCAAATGGTTCGGTCTGAATCATCATAAAATTTGTGTGCATTTTCTCTTTCATTTTAGTTCATTCTAGTGCCAGTTCTACTCAGAAAAGATAAGTTGAGTTTAAAAAAAACCACAACGACAATGGTAACGGGAACGTCACTAAACAAAAGGTTTCATGAGCAGGACAAAGGCTGTACACGTGTGTTGTAAAGCTTTGTAAATTTCTTTGCGTTCTCTGCAAAACAAAATCGTGAAATGACTAAACTTTGCGTTTTCTGGAGAACGTGAACGGCGACGCCTAATTTTTTAGATTCCCATGTCTAATTTAACGCTGTGTTCCATGTTCAGTTTCGAGATAGTTTTGACCGCGAGAAACAAACTTAATGACTTTCGAGTATCGCGAGATTCGTATGTCAAATATAAGTTCATTTTTTTAACCGACGTTGTCCACGGCGTCGCCGTCGCCGTCGTTGTTTCTTAAACTCCATATTGTCGGCTCTATTTAGTCGTCAAAACAATATTTGGGAAGGGGAGAGGAATGGTACTGCCTTTCTAGTCTAACTGGGAGAGGTAAACAGCAAAGCGAATGCTTTACAAAGACAACCTCAAAACACAGCGGTCAAACGTCTGCATATGTGCAAGCGTTGTAATGACTACTCGGCGTGCTTTCAGGCTGTCAGAACCAAGTTGTCTCACTCGAGTTACATATTTAAAAATTATAAGAACTACCACGTCATGGTGTTTAAAAAACGTATAACTTTTTCGGTAAAACTCAAAACAAAATAGTTAATCAGCAGGATACCCGTACTTGAGAAAGCTTAAGTCCGTACAGTCTCAAGTACTGCTTTTCCCTTCTTTTGTTTCTTTTGAAAAATTTCTGTGAACCTTTCAATTTTCTTTTGTCTCTTTTGCGAGACGGTAAGTGTTTCTTATGTCTTCCTTTGATGTTTAGCGCGGGAAATTAGCGTGTGGCCGGGCCGATTTGATCCCACTGCGCATGCCGGACGTTTCACCGCTGTGTTCATCCTCAAGTATATAGTCTAAATTTCGGAAAGTAAGCCCATGGCCTTCTGACTTTTAAGGGCTCACATTATAGGAGCAAAATTTATCAATGGAATTAAATATTTGTCCTAGAGAAAGAAATTCTTGAAAGGAAAGAACTTTATAATTCTGGATGTCACGGCTGTTCAGGGGGTGCGTGGGGGGTGTAAGTAAAAGGGGTGATATTGACTAAAAAGCTCCCCCTCCCCCGTGTTTTTTCTATGAAGTTTGTGTAGGTCGTATAGAGTCGTGAAAAATGATTGAAAATGGTACTTTTTTAGAATAGCAAATAAAAGAAGAAAGAACGTTGTGGCGTTTTGAAACCGACTTCTTCATCTAAGGTGGTAAAAACGTTTAAGGTGTCCTGAAAAAAGTCATGAAACGTCATTGAATTTTATGGTTTTGCAAAAATTTAGAACGTTTTACCCTTCACGGACTTTCCTGTTACATTTTTTCGTTCTGAACATTAGGAACAAGCAAGAATTCAGGGGCTTACTTCCGGGATTTTAGGTGATGTTACGTAGTGCGATCAAGACTGATATATTTATATCTTATTTTAAACTCTGTAAAATGGAGAATAAACTTCAAATTAAAATTCAGTTATTCAAACAGCAACGTAAAATCACCATATGTTTCCTAGTTTTTAAAAGGACGCCACATTCGCCTTATACCACAGAAGGAAAGTTTTTCATTGATAGAGAAGGTAAGCTCTTCGCACTTAACATCGCGACATGCGAGAGCGAAATGGAAGTTCATTTTTATATCGAAGTTTCTGAAGCACCGCTATCGTGACATCTCGAATCCCCCCTTCATGGCAAGGCCCTCAGAAGGTTGCTTGCGTAAATGACGGTTATTGAGAGGGTCTAGATCGTTAGGAATACAACGATTAGCAATAAGCCTTTTCCGAGATTCCTAAATCTCTACTTTTGCAAAAAGGCTATGGGTGAAGCCTTTAAATATAATAATAACAATAACAATAGTAGTAATAATAATAGTTTAATACTTATAGTGCACAATTCTAACATATTAATATGATCAAATTCGAATTACATAAAATACTAAAACATTTCAATTTATCAAAAAATATCAAAGAGTATATTGCAAATTCAGATATCTAACATATTAAAAGCAAATGAAAAACTAATTTTATATAAACATTACACAAAGTAAGATCTAATTAAAAGCAAGTCTAAAGAGATTGCTCTTCAACACTGATTTAAAATTATTAGAATGTCTCTCATTACGTAAATCCTGGGGTACAGCAAAATTGATGCATTTCCACAAGAAAGGATTTGAGCCTGGCCTTACTGAGATAAATTTATGACACGCAGAAATGGTTTATTGATATGTGTAAACTGTTATTTTTTAAAAAGATAAGTTGGCCGCTGTTCTTAATTTTATTATTATTTTTTTTAACAAATCTCTTCATATAAAATCTTAAGTGGCTTCGTCTTGCGACACGATGATGCACGAAAAATACACAAGTTCCGATATGTTCTTCTATTCGAACCACATACGGGTTTTCTCGGCCCATGTATGCGGCATTCCTGCCTACTTGGGCAAGGCTTTAGGTTAATAGGGGCGTTGCATTCTCCAAAATAATGCAAATTAAGGTTCTCATCGGCATTTTGCAATGCACAAGTGTCAATGCACGCCTTTAATTCTTGTGGGCTCTTTCCAGGAGATTTCTTGGGATTATTTAGCAATGTGCAAGCGGCATGGCACGCTCTCTGATCTTTTGGCCTCTTCCCGAGACACATTGCGGCACGTAAGTGACATAAACTTGAGTACGTTTTTCCATTGGACCCACACACGGGTTTCTTCGGCGCAGATTTGCACTCTTCCAATTTCGGGCAAGGCTCTTGTGTGGCCGGTGAATTGCATGCTCCAAAGAAATACAGAGCGAGAGAAGCATTGTTTTCCTTCCGCAATGCACAAATGACTCTGTCTAAATGACAGATACTTTCATACGTTTTACGATTCGCACCACACACGGGTCGAGAACTGGTCGGACAATATCTGGGGCACGATGTAACAGGTAGGAATTTTCTGGAGTTTTGACAAAAACCTGAAACAAATTTACAATAACACTTGCGTCAATCACACATTCTGACTACAGCAGCTAGTAGCAAAAATATCATATCTTGTTATAAAAACCCATATTTGAGCTTTGAAAATTGTGTTAGTCTTGCAAGTTATGTTAGTAATGTTATAACTGAAATTTGTAAATATTGTTTTAAATAATTAAATAACAATGATAAAAAACAATTATGTGAATTTCTAAAATTGCAGCAGTTTCCGTGAGAAAGCTGGAATGAATTGAAAACATATTTACCACTGTCAAAACAGAAAAAACCTTTTAACTTAACTGTCGCATCCAAACACTGCGGTCAAACTTGGGGCATGCGCACATGGGTCAATTTTGCCCGGCCGCGCGCAATTTCCCGCTCAAAATTTTCAAGAAAAATATAACCCGCTGTCAAGCAAAATATTCGATAATGAATTAAAGTGTTCATAGAAACATACGAAAGGCAACCAACTTAAGGAAAACGTGGAACGTTTATTTCTCAACAGGTATTCTTTTGATTTACTTTTTTTTAGCTTCATCAAAAAAGTTGTAGACTGTTATAAGACTGTGGCAGACTGGTTTGTGCCAAAAGTTGTTTCGCTCGAAAGCCAGGCCGCCTCTAAGGACAAACAGCTGTTTAAATGTTCGCACGTGCCAGGCGTTTGACCGCTGAAAGGACACAGGAAAATTGAATGGTTTTAAAATCTTGCTTGTTAGTTAACAACTCAACAAAGCGAAATGTGGCTATAGCGAATGTACAGTGCAAAATCGAAACGCTTCTGCCTACTTTCTAGGAAATCATGTCAGCAATCAAAGTCAGTTTTTTCAAGAGATTTTTAACTCCTTATGACTCATGTCCTATGTGGTAATCCGTCATAATAAAGTTTAATGCTGTGGCCGTTTCATCTTAAAGAAGAAGAAGAAAGAAGCGTATGGGTATTTGCGAGATTAAGAACTTGCTTCCTAATACATGCATGTATCGTCGTAAAAATTGCCAACATCAGGTTTTCTCATCAGTTTTAATGTATGGGTCTTACAAGGGATCTAAATTTACTCTTGTTGGTGTGAATTGTCCAAGATGAGGTTGAAGTGTTATTTTTGTTTTGTTGCTTCTTCTGTTCGAATTTGGGAAAGCGGTACCTGGTGAGCTCTGATTGTAGAGCGCCGTACTGCCGTGCAAAAAATCGATGGCTCGAGCTCAGAACGGAACAACACTCAGGGTCTTGAAATATCTGAAAATGAGCTGCCTTTGCAAAGACATCTGCAAACGGTTAGACGGTATATTTGCAAAATTCCCTTTCAAAAATTGTAAACTGCAGAATGCCGTCTAGCCAAAGTCCCCAACCGAAGAGTTGTAAAGCGCATCAGAACATATTTATATGGGGAATGCGCTTCATAAATGTTTTACTATCATTGTCATCGTAAGCTTCTCTTCATAAAGCGGTCCATTCGCTGTTCTCGCAGCCACCACTGCGTTTCTCGTTGCAAAGGTGAAGAAACGGAAATCAAGTCCAAGAGATTAAGTGTCGTTAGCAAGCATTACGTAATCTGATTAAAGATTCCAATTAGTTACATTCAGGGATCGCTTCAAGTGTCACGCGATGTTCACCTCTTCGACAGAAACCAGAGACAAAACAGCAAATATTTTCGAGATATTTGCACCGAATAAAAACCCCTCTTATGCTGTATTTTTTTGTTAAGCGCCCTTTAAATGTTTCCTCTTCCGAAAACTCATTTTGATGAATTTGGTTCTAAGAAACTGTCTTCGAATATCATTTCAAAATATCCTTCCCAAAATAGTTCCAACCTGGATTAAAATTAAACAATAAACAATCTGTAAGCCGAGGTAAAATTAAAAGTTTTATATGACTCTAAGGACTCAGTTAAAAAAAAAAAAGCAGTCGTACGGAATAATCATTATTGGCTTACAAGATGCTGTAGGAATAGCGTGCGTCGAAATACCATGTTGTAGTACCATTTGAAAAAACCCTTATCTGCGAATTTTCATTAATCAATTACGGACACGCTGATTACACTTAACACTGGAAAGGGTTTAGTTTGTGCCGGAAAAACAACGCAAGGAAATTTTGGGAAATTTTTTCCGTGCACGCTTAATGCTTCATTCTCGAAGAGCCACCTTACATTTCAACATTATACGCCACCCAGCTAAATTCCACATACAACATCATTGTAAAGATGGATGACACTCAAACCGGTACGGGGTCAAACTGTAGAAGAACTACGCCAAAAATTCAGAACGAGTGAAGAGCAAGAGGTATTAGAGGTAATCTCATGCTGTAAACAGATCGTTGTAAGCTCTGAAAGGGATCGTCCGCAAATTTCGCCCATCCAATTTAATAAAACATGATCCTTGGATTTTCGAGTTGACCGCGCTGTTATGAAACGACATTCAGCCTGGTCAAAAAAACATTGAAATTGCCGGAGCCTCAGAGCAACGTCGAGCCATAGTTAGCTGAATTCTCTTCTAAAAATAACTTTCTGATTAGAGGGTATCCAGTTTAGGTCTTCTTTATTGGTCAAGAAAGCTCTACAAACACCACTCAATCAAATAAAGTAAACGAAATTGAAATGCAAGAATGTTCCCGGAAGAAAAAATCGTAAATTTAACCATTGGCACGACGCAAACCGCAGTAAAATCGGCAAGTTAAACAATATGGTCCAAAAAATTTTTTTCATGTTTAGTATGTACCTTCAATTGGAGATTACATCACTTACTTTTTATGGGTCATCATGTCAAACTCCACCCGAATTATTTAGAAGCTTGCGTTGAATTCGTGCCAACGACATTATGAATGGAAAAATTTATGAAATTCTTCAGTACCTTATGATCTTTCTGATTTTTATAATCATACCCAAGGAAACAGAGTTAGGCACTTTCGCTGCCTAATTTCAAGTAGGATAAATTGATGAAAGTAAACGAAAGGAAGACTGGCACATGTGTTTCGACGGTTACATACCTATCTCCATCTAACAAAGAGTTTGGAAAATTAAAGAAGAAGCCGGATTTCTTCAGGCTGTAAGTCAATAAGTGTTTCAAAAACTGATGAATTATCTCTCCATTTGAAGAATACCGTTAAGGCTCAAAAACACCCAGGCGCCTAATCCAAATCTATAGGTTAGACCGAATGGCGCGTAAGGTTTGAGCAAGAAACATGGCAAAATGCATGTATATGACGGTCTCTTCTTTGTTTTTCTCTCTTCCTCCCTTTCTTCCATTCTTTTTTTTCATTCGTTTGTGCCGTTTCTTTATTTCTATTACAAAAATACTGCACAACTCCGGCGCAAAATGTCCGCACTTGTTTTATGTTGAGCCATCGAATAAGGTTGAGTTATGCCTTTTTTTTTTTTTTTTTTTTTTTTTCATTATAAACGCATGCGGCCAAGATGGGTCATGTATTCACGTTCAGAACTCGGTGAAATGGAAAACTAGAAGTATTTTGTCCTATGATATTGGTCCTCTAACGAATGGATTTTAGTATGGATAGAATGGATAGTAGTTTGCTTACCTAAAGGCATGGGCTTCAGGAATTTCTTCCCCCGGCACTTCGTATAATTCAAGTGACAATCATTCATATAAATCCGTCCATCGCTGCCACATGAGAGATCACCTTTAAACTCGTCGCACTTTCTTAAAATCGGGCAACCAAACGGTCCATTTCTCCGACTATCCTTCGTTAAGGTCATTCTGGGTGATTCTGGTTTTCCACACTCCCCCTTGTATTGAAGAGTTAATTTGGTATTGTAGTCTTTTTTGGCATAGCACCGGGCGACTTTGAAGGCACAAAACGATGCATAGGTTTTATTGTCGCTTCCACAGACCTTCTGTTGCAAGGAGCTAGGGTCTGAGCAGCTTGGCCAAAGAAAGTAACGCAGACCGCACGACAATTTTCTGTATTTAACGGGTTCCAGCTTCTCTCCGGAAACTGCAAGTAATAGGGAAATAAAAGATGATATGCATCTGCGTGTATTATCAAATCACACCAGTAAGATTTTCCCTTTTTCATACACGGTTGTTGTTGTTTTTGTTCGTTTGTTTTTATCATTATTTTTATTATTTTTATTTTCCTCCTCCTTTAAGTCGGCGGAACGAAAGCCGAGACGAATAATGACGTGAAAATAGCGCGCAAAATGGGTAGGAACCTAGGAAGACATTGGAAAAGGATATATTTCGAGTGCATTTCGACTGAATGTCGTAAAACAAAGACCAAAGTAATCGCAAAAATCAACATAGAAAAGATGGATTGCAAAGAGGCGATCGTAAATCAATGAAAAAACGCGCGGAAAAACGTTACATGTCGCGATTGATTTTTGTCTTGAATGTGATTGGTGGAGAAAGTGGCGCGAGTTTTCTGAACCTATCACAGAGTGAGGTAACGCAAAAAAATACAGAGATCTCGGATTATTTTCGACTGCTAGACAACCAAAATTCTATAACTACAGCACGTGACCCTCGACAAATCAGAAATCACATTTTTTTTTACAAATTCCCTATCGTATAGCATGAACACTGGGTAGGGCTTTCGTTCTGTGAAATAGAGTTTTTGTGTTTCAAGGGAATAATTTTTTTTCCATTTCGGAGGACTGAGATTTCTCCGGGGATCTCCCACTCGCGATTTTTCTGTTAGTGAAGCAGAACCATAAAAAGTGGAGAAATTCATTGTCAACAAACTTTTCTGAGTTACACAGAGTAAATTTAAGCCTCGTGGAGGATAAAGGTTCGGAGGTGAGGGCTTTTACTGTAATTGTTGAGGTTTTTAGTCGGTAAGATTTTTATCTTTTGTTGCGGAAACATACTTTTGCGTATCAGGAACTAAACAATAAAATTAGCAAATACCGGATTAAAGGTCGCAAAATCATCTGCATTTTTACAGGCAAGCACTACATAAGCATCAAAGGTAAACAAAACATCAGCATCAAGTACCTAAAACAAGAGATTTAAGGTCGACCACATGTTTCTGTTGGCTTTAGGCCCAAGAAAAGTTTGCGTTTCCAAAACTGATGGTTCAAATATAATAATGACTTCCTGAGCAGCTATAGAATTCAAGTAAGAGGTGAATATTTTTTTTTACTCGGTCTAATGCCGTTACGCAGACTTCCAGAACGGATAGCACATTTCCGAAATTGTGAAGCGAAAAGGTATTTGTGCAGCTAAATACCACAAGAAAATTTTCAAAAGCACTATTTCATTATTAATTTCTCGACGCAAGAATCTTGTGCTTTGAATCCTGCAAAATTCGACGCGTTATGTACGCATAGCGTTTTAAAAGAAGCTGTCGTATTCCTTACCTGATAGATGTAACACAGCAGTGAGACAGAGTAGACTGAATACTTTCCTCATTCTGACAATCTTGAATAACAATTGGGCGATGAAGTCTAAAGTTAGGTGGAAAGGTTCTCTCTATGATCTGTTCAGTGTCGTTGGAGAAATAGAACTGATCTCTAAGTGATATACGATGGCATATATATCCAATCACAGGCCCGACCCAATTACACCTGGATTAACCAAGATGAAGTTCTCGTACCTTCTTCCAACTCCATAGATGCTTCGTTTTTATTAGATCAACACAGATAATGCCTGTCGATGGCATTAGAAGGCATTTCTTTTTATCGAGTTTGCCGGAGACAATTTCATGCTGTGTTCGACCTTAAATGAATATCTTATTTTGAATGCCCCTCATTTATTCTTAATTATATATTTTTTCCATAGAAAAAACTCAAGGTCATGATCTTTGATGGACTAGGAGATTGCTATATTCATTTTTGCATGGCGGAGTTTTTAAAGCATGTTTTAACTTTTAGTTGTTTACCTAGTTAGAATAATTTTGTACCAATAAACCCATTCAAAGTCAGTATGTAAGTTTTAGTCTTCTCAGTTTAGTTGGTTCAAATGTTTAATGACATATAAATGTCTTTCATGTATAAATAAGCTTTTAGGTGACAGCCAATTATAAAGTACTCAATACTGATAGCAAAATAAATTCTCGTCCATTAATCGAAACAACAGATCTCTACATATTTCTTAATATGATTAATTCCTCTTCAATTGCTTATTTTTATATCTTCACTTGAAACATATTTTATCCGCAATAGCAAAGGCACCAGATTAACTGTAGATCAATCGGGGTTTCGGGAACAATAATAGGTGTATTCAGATTTAATCGCAAATTTTTACCCTCATTAACCTCAGTCTAATTGGCTTGTTTTAGAGGAAGTGGTCTACAAAAATGTACCGGTCGTAAATTAAGTTAAAAATATTCATTCATGTAGGCCATGAAGAAAGTGTTTTTATTGGCGAGGAAGACAGGAGCTGAGACCGCATGGAGAATTATTAAACGCAATTAAGCAACGGAAACCGGCAAAAATCGGATGATTTACAAGTCTTGTCGATACAAAAAGCCAACTTATTTGAGTGGGATCTGATGTTTATTATGCAACCCAAAATTTTGCAGCAGTGAAAATAAAAAAAACAATTTCTTTGCATAAAAAACTCAATTACAAGTTATTAACATGAAACATTCATGGATTTTCATAAACTCATCAAAGAAGAAATTCAAAGCTTGCAAAGGAAACGTGAGAAATAATTTTACGAGGAATCTAAATACATGAAGTTCCTTGGTGGATTTAAGCTTTTCTTAGCTTACTGTTATTGATTGCCAGTTACTTGGATTTGATCAAGTGACAATACGAAAGGAATTCGGGATGATTCTAAAGTCATTAAATTCCTCTTTACCTAACAGCTAAACTCATGCAACTCTTGGATAAGAATAGAATAAATTACTACAGCTTTCCACTTCTTTATCGTTTTAAGACTTGAACTAATATGTTGTTCAACTTCTGTCACGATATTTTTTTAAAAATTATCGTTTCCCAAAGAATAGCTGTGCGATTTGTTTTAAGTGCGAAAAAGTCACAACAAATACTGCCAAAATAGACGACTTAAATCACTTACTGAGGCAAGCTTTTATGATAAGCGGACTAAGGTTTTCCTTGATAAAGATTCGCGTATGATAGGAAGATTAACACCCACCTATCGAAGGAGGTATGTCGGTGATTTCGGCATCGTCAAAGTGGGCGAGAGAGCGGCATAAGAGCATTTAATAGGATGATAAGAAATGCTTATATTTTAAAAATTCCTTTCGCAGAAATGCACTCTCAACTCAGTTTACCCCAGATCACGACGTCCACCCATTCACAAAGTTCCTCGGATTGCTTCGTGGTGGCAAAAGATTCAACGGCATTTTAACAATAAACTATTGTTGCGTGAACTTTCT